AGGACGAGCTGTTAATACTATTATCATTCAAATGATACTACTGTCATTCAAATATATACAATAGTAACTAAAGGCAAAGAGGAGGAAATATAAAGACTTATACCAAATTTTGCAGTCTGAAATTGATCAAATAAAAAACCAACTGGTAACTGGAATGTGAAAGTTGGGAACATGAAGAACCAATCATCGGAAAATACAGACTTGGTGATGGATAAAATAATAGAATTCTGTATAATCAATGATTTTTTCATTGCAAATATCTATTTAAAATAAACAAATAAATGTTGACTATGCAAATGGACCTCACCTGAGGAACCAAACTGATTGAACTAGACAAACACATTCCCCCAAAAACAAACCAAAAAACCTATCAAAAAAAAAATTTATACAGTAGCTACAAAATACTACTGCAACAAATCATAAAAGACCTAACTGAATAGGAAAATATTTTTTTCTTCATAAACAGGAAAACTGAACATTCTGAAAATTACAATCTTACCAAAAACAACCTACATGTCCCATACTGATGCTAAGCTCTTTCTCCAGGAGATTAAAAAAAAAGCAATTGGCAGTTTTATTTGGGAAAAAAGAGACCCTGATTAAATAAAGCTCTTCTAAAAATAAAAATAAAGTGGGAGGAAAATAACTCCTTGATCTCAAAACCTACTATACAGCCATAGTAACCTAACCAGTATGGTATTGGTACAATGGCAGACACATAGACTAATTGAAAATGGAGTAAAATTGAGAATCCAGTAATCAACAATCTACTAAAGTCAGTTAGTATTTGACAAAGAAACATCTGTCAAATGGGGAATTGACAACCTTTTCAACAAATGGTGCTGGCAAAGCCAGACATTTACTTGCAGAAAACGGAAACAGGATCCACATCTCACACCATATACAAAAAATCAACTCAAGGTGTATCAGATCAGATACCTGTGGATAAAGCCCCAAACCATAAAGATAATAAGAGACTTAAAAGACCTAGCCTATTATATATATGTTGTTGTGGTGGTGGTGGTGGTGTACTGTTGAGTTGAAACCAACTCATACCTGACCCTCCAGTGGGTTTTCAGAGGCTATAAACCATACAGGAGGAGACTGCCCACCTTTCTCCTGCAGAGCACTTTGTGGATTTGAACTGCATGCCTATGGGATTGCAGTACAACTTCTTACAACTAGGCCACCAGAGTTATGTTTCCAAATTTTAGCCAGAAATGCAAAATCAGGAGATGATGAATTTGAGGAATAGGATCTTCTAAAAATCAAGTCCTTGTATGTATCAAAACCTTTTTCAATAGAATGAAAATACTGGGGGAAAACATTTGGCAATTGCCTCTCAACCAGGGTATCATAGTGAAAGTTTACACAATTCTACAGGGCCTCCACAAGAAAAAGACTGCTAACCCAACTAAAAAATAAACTACAGACATAGAAAGACTTTTCATAGAGGGAGAGATTAGAGAGCTAAAAGACATGAAAAAAATGCTCAAAATCACTGGTGATAAGATGCAAATCAAAACCACAATGTGATACCATCTCTTCCTAGTAGCAGTGAAAAAGTATAACAGGATAGCAAATAATACACGTTGCAGAGGATCCAGAAAGACTGAAATTTTCATGCACTCCTGATGACATTACAAAAAAATACAACTGCTCTCTCTGGAAGGCAGTTTGGCATTTCCTCACAAAGCTGAACTTAGAAATTTCATGTTGTTTTTGTTGTTGTTAAGTGTCACCAAGAATAACTCATAGTGACACTATAAACAATACATCTGAACTCTGTCCTATCCTGTGCCAGCCTCACTATTTTTGATACATTCAAACCTATTACTACAGTCTGTGTTTACAGCTATTTGTCCTTGTTTTGATTGACTTCCAATTTGGACTCTACATCTAATTCTTTGACCATTTCCTTTATTCATAGGGTTTTCAGAAGCCTATTTCAGAAGCCTAACTATTTCAGAAGTAGTTGGCCAATCTTGCTGCTTTGGCTGTTCCTGTCCACTTGGGGACCTCTCTGGAATTTGACATACTGGTGTGGCATTTATTCAGCATCGCAGCAACGCACAAGTTACTTCAGTACAGCAAACTGACAGAAAAGTGCTATACTAATTAAAACAGTGAGAAACACACAATAGAGATAAGCCAGCTACAAAGTAATAAATGTATGACCCAGCTACTCAATTACTAGGAATATACCGGAAGGAAATCAGAACTGGGATATGCTGATATGTACACCGATGTTCATAGCAGCATTATTCACAATAGCAAGAAAATGGAAACACTTCAAATGTCCATCAACAAATGGAGAGATTAGGAAATTGTGGTACATTCACCACATAATGAAATACTTTGCAGTACTATGGAAATACAATTTTGTAAAATACTACATAACAGAAGAGTCTAGAGAGTGTTATGCTGAGTGAAATAACTCCGTATCCTATGGACTTATATTAAAAAAAATTACTGTGAAAATAGAAGGATAACTGAGAAAGTGATGTATAAATGTTCAAAACCGGAAGAGAAAAATGAAAAGGGGGCAGAAAAAAGTGGGAGGAAAATTACTAAAACAGCAGATGGATAGATGGGAGGGTGAGGAATAGGAAAGATTCAATGGGGACTTGAAAAGATGGAGTGTTAATAAGAATAGATCAATAGTAACTAATTATGTAAAATATAATGTATATTAATGATTATATAAAACACAATGTACCAGAATGAAACACAATGCAAATGAAAGATTGTGTAAAACAATGTACATGTATGAAATACAACATATATGAATGACTGTATGAATACCAATAAAAATACGGGAAAAGATATTTGCAATGAATAAATTACTTGTTGCATAAAATTATATCATGTGATCTCCAGCTTTACTTCTTTCACCTACATCATATTTTCCAATTACCAGCCCTCCTCCTTTATTTCTAACTTTTGCAATCAAGTTGCCAATTTTTATTAATGCATCTTCATTGCATGTACAATCATTTTCAGATTGCAAAAGTTGGTAGAAATCCTCAGTTTCTTGATCTTTGGCTTTCATGGTTGGTGCAAATATTTGAATAATAGGTGTAGTAATAGGAATGAATTCTTTGTATTTGTATGGAGAGTATCCTACCCTCTGCAGCCTTTTATTGAGATAAATTTTAAATTGCCTTTTTTGACAATGAATGCCACACCATTTCTTCAATTTGTCATTTCCAGCATAGTAGATGATGTGATTGTCTGATTCAAAATGGCCAGTACCAGTCCACCTCCCAAAGCACTGGTGGCTTAAAGGTAAGAAATTGTGTTGCCAAAGCAAAGTTACATGGTTTGAAACCATCAGCTGCTCTGTAGGAGAAAGACAAGCAATATGCTCCCATGTAATTTACTGTTTCTGAAAACCTATTGGAGGGTCAGAGATGAGTCAGTTCTGACTTGATGGTGGTATACAATAACAAGACTATCTCAGCTCATTAATATTTAGAATGTTCTTGGTCTTTACACAGTCCATTTCAATTTTTACAACTTTTCATTTTCTTAGAGTCATGCTGCATTACATTCTATGGTCCAATTATTATTGGATGCCTACAGCTATTTCTCCTAGCTTTGAAACTTTCTACATCAGCAAATGACGGTCTTTTACTAGGTGGAAGCTTGACTCCTTCTCTGTCATTACATTAGAACCTACTTTGAACCTGCAACCTGCTTTTCTCCTGTCACATTTTGACTGTCTTCCAATTTGAAGGACTCATTATTGGGCATTATAACCAATAATTTAGTTTTTCTGTTGTCCATAGAATTTTCAGTCTTCTTATTTCTAAAGTGCATGATCAGATCTATGTCTTAATCTGTCTTTAGTTTGGAAGCTAAGAAGCAGTATATTTTTGTTACCAATATGTTTCAGGGGGAAAAAAAGGCTCAGCGCAGAACTGATATAACTAATAAGCATGGTTTAGTTAAGCTTTAAAATGTATAATCAACATTTTATGATTTACTTTTAGAAAATATATTAAACCCCATTTGTTTTTCTTTTGTTACTGTTGGTAGATGCCATCGAGTAAATATGACTCATATCAGCTCTATTTTCTACATAAAGTTAGTTATACTCATTGGATTATATATGGCAATAAGAGAAAAAAACTGCATAAAATATATCATACACAACAAAATAGCAATAAAAAGTACTTCTTTTAATGTAGTTCTAAACTCTAGCTCAAAATATGCAGAGTTTAATTTTTTATTATAAAAATAGCTATGAAATATGAAAAATAGCTTAAGAGGTACTTAAGACTATTTTCCAGAAGGTGCATCTAAAGGATTATGACAATAAAGATACGGATACTTTTCTCTCCTAGTTTATAATGTTAGTTACAAATTGATTGGTTTCTATGTAATCATTTGTGGGTCTTGAAAAACCAGGGACAAAATGGTGATTCATGGAATATTCATAATGAATAACTAAAGGTATGAATATAAAGATCAAAGAGAGGGAAGAAAGAACATTATTCTTGCAGATGAAGTAAGGGATTTAGACTTGCAGAAGGAAAAATAAAACTCATATTAATATCTGAAATTTCATCTAAGTTAGTCATTATCAGTTTTTATTACTCTCATTACTGAAATACTCTAATAAAATTCATAGCAACTGCTAACTTTAATTCAAATAAATTTCAAAGTTCAAAGGCAAACATCTTATCTGCTCAAACATATACCTTCATTAGAACAATAGAATGAGAACACTATGTACTTGTACAGTGCTTCCTTTTCCATGTTTATATGAATACTGGTAGGACAGTGAGTGAGCAGTTACCTCTTACTCAAAATTTAACCTACTAGATATTCAAACTCTACCAGCTACTCTATGGAAACTGTAGCGCTCTGTTCCCATAAAGATAACAGCGTTTAAGAATGGGTTGAATAGTGGTTACTAGCAAGTTGGCACAGCCACAAAAATACTTTCATCTAAAGAGAAATACATAAAAAAAGCAAAACATTCGGAATCCTACCGGTAACAAGAAAGCTGCATCTCCCTGCTCCGGCTTCGTTCATAATGCTACAATTATAAATTCCATAGTTTTCATTGGAAAGACTCTTCACCGGATACTCTGTGTACTCCTGGGAGTCAAACTGACCAGTCCGTAGTAGTTTATTGCCCAAACGCCACTCATAGGTCAGCACCCGGATTGGATAGGCTCTTAGGACCCGGCAGCTCATCGTGACACTTCTGTCCTGACCTTGTCGGATTTCCAGGAATGCTGGTTCCACAGCAGGAGGATCTTTAAAAAAGAGAGAGATTAACACGTATAAAGGATATGGTTTTCAATAAAACAATAGCTATTATCTTTGTAAGAAGATGATTTTTTAATAAATCAATCAGCAATGGGCTATAAAGAAGTTTAACGGATAGGTAGACAAAGCTATTTAAATCTAGAAATTTCAATCTATTTGGAAAATACAGTTGTCTGACTGAGAAATGAACATCAATGATTTGAAAGAACCCAAATGAACAAACAAAATTATTTTTTATTTGCAAAACTAGCAAAATTTCTAGTATCTTCTCATAAAAAAAAAAAAGCCAACTTGTCTTAAACCTTGTTGGCAAGTGATAGCCATGAAATGAAATGTAATGTATGACTTCCATAATCCTTCAGAGACTCTGAGGCAAATGACTGAGTTGGTTATGGTGGACAAACATCGTTGCTTCAGTCCTTGGGATCATGGGTACGTATAAAAAGAAAATGGGAAATTACATAAATTTATAAATTATTTATATGGATTGTCCAAAATCCACCTATAAAACTAAAGCACACATTATATAAATAATACACAGTGTAGTGTATTTTTTAAAACCACTAAAATTATTTATTTATATGGTATAACTTATTTTTCTTTCTTAATTAAATTGTGCTTTATTAGACATAACCATTTTGGGTTCTGATAATGTTAAAAGTCACCAAACAATTATCTCATAATTTTCTCAATAAGCTTTTTCTTAATGATCCTTGAGTATCATAAGAAATAGCAATACAATTTGTTCAGTCAAGGCTATATATATATGGATGTGTATGTGTATGTATATGTGTATAGTACTTTTTGAGTTGTGCAGTATAAAACCTGCACATTGCTACGCATTGGTTGGCCTGGCCAGATACTGAGAAGAATAACCACAGTTTGAGTTTGAGCACTTGCTCCATATATTCTAAGAATATATAAATCACAATTAAGAGACATTACCCCTGCATATACATTATGGTTTAGCATTTAGCATTAGGTATTTAAACACTTGAATTCTAAAACTGACATATGAATAACATTTGCAAGATAGCAACATGAACAACATTATCAAGATTGGTCAGGTAAGTCATCTCAAGGAAGTATATAATTTGACTTGTGTATTTTAGCAAAGTAAGAAAAGGTTAGATGAATAAGAAATGAAAGAATGCATTCCATGTAAAAGTATTACCACTTGCAGAGTCAAGAAGGCATTAAAGAGATTTCAGATAAAAACAAATAGATTAGCATGCTTAAAAGGTTGGAAAGATGTAAAGATAGGAAGAAATGCAAAAACAACATTTAAAAATCTTGAACACCATGACATAGACTTTTTATTATTAAGAAATTAATCTTTCAGAGTTACAGAAATTTAGTTACTACAAGAACAAAGATATGGCCATTGAAATTAAATTGTAAATTGGAATGGCAATCAATAACACAGGAATCAAGTATATATATATATAATCTCCAGACTTTATATAGCGAATGAAAGTTAGCAAATTCCTCCTTTGAATAAATTAATAACTTTAATTGGTGTACTTATACTTAGTTATATTTTTGTGTAGTCGAAATTATATCACTTACCTGCTTGCTGTATATTTGTAACATGACATTTGAGTAAATATTACTATATAATGATAAAGCAATATTGATTTTCCTAAATAAATACTTTTTTTACCTTTTTGTTGTATTTGTTTAGGGAAACAAGTGTAATTGCTTATTTTTCTTTGAATTTTTTTTAAAAAATAAAAAAGGTAGTAAATGTAATTAATTGTACCTGACAGGCAAATATCTGAAAATACATACTCTCTTTTTTTTCCATGACAGGAAGCTGCGCTGTTATCCTGAAGGCATATGCTTTGAGGCCACATAACATCACAATAGGGCCATTGGTTAAGGGGTTGTTCTGCCAACTCAAAGACGAGCAGTTTAATTCACGATTTGTTCCACAGGAGAAAGACAGGCAGTTTCTTCCCTGATGTGTCAATTCATGTCATCTAGAATTTTCCTCTACTGCACAGACCCTCTTCCCTTCTGAACTTGATGTCCTTCTCTAAGCACTGGTCCCTCCTGTCAATATGCCCAAAGTATGTGAGACAGAGTTTTAAAATCCTTGCATCCAAGGACCAAGCTGGTTTTGCCCTCTCCAGGACAGACATGTTTGTATATGGTATGCTCAATACTCTTCTCCAGCAACACAACTCAAAGGCATTGATTTTTCATCTGTGATTCTTATTGATTGTCCAGCTTTTAGATATACAGAAAACAATTGAGAAGACCATGGCCTGGATTATGTACACCTTAGTCTCTAGACTGATAGCGTGGCCCTTTAGCATTCTGGAGAGATCCTTGACAGCTGACTTTACTAAAGCAACTCATCTTTTGATTTGTGACTGCTGGTGCAAGATAAAATTGTTAACAATTTAATTTTTTCCCCTCCATTCATTGTGATACTGCTGAATGGCCTGTCGGTGAGAATCTTTGTCTCCTGGATGTTGAGATTCTATCTATATTAAGGATTGCAGTCCGTAAGCTTCTACAGCAAATATTTCCAGTTCTCTGTTTTGGTGAGCAAGGTTGTATCATCTGCCTAATGTAGCCGTTGAGGAGTCATCCTTCAATCCTGATGCTATATTCTTTAAAAAAAAATATCCAGCCTCCTGGATGATCTCTTCTGCATATAGATTGAAATGGTATGGAGAAAGGATACATCGTTGATACACTCCATTCTTGATTTTGAACCACACAGGGTTTTCTTGCTGTATTCATATAACAACTTCCTGGTTTAGGTATAGGTTTCACATGAGCACTATCAAGTAATCCGGGAATCCTATTCTTCTCAATTTTAGCCACAATTTGTTGTGACACATACAGCCAAATGCCTTTGCACTCAATCAGTAAAACACAAAAAAAGGCATTCTTCTGGTACTCTCTGCTTTTAGTTAAAATCAATCTGACATTGGCAATGATGTCCCTAGTGCCATTGCCTCTTCTAAATCCATCCTGTAATTCTGGCTTTTATTTCTCCATCATACTGTTCTAGTCATTTTTAGCTAATATTCAGCAAGATTTTGTTTGCATGTAATATTAGTGATACAATTCAATGATCCCACACTGTTGGATCTTCTTTTGTGGGAATGAAAATAAATATGGATCTCGCTGTCAGTTGGCCAGAGAGCTGTGCTCCAGATTTCTTGGCACAACCTGATGAGTACATCTGTTTTTTGAAATATTTCAGTTGGTATCCCATCAATTCCAAGGCCCTTATTTTAGGCCAATTCTTTCAGAGGAGCATAAACTTCCTCCTTTATTACTACTGCTTCTTTCCCTTTCGCTATCTCATGCAATTGTTCTATGTCAGACAATTGTTTTTGCTACAGTGACTCTGTATTCCTTCCATCTTCTTTTTTTATAATTATACCAGTTTATTTAAAAATTTGAATGCATTGCTTTTTACATCTCATTCTTCCAATTGCCTTCACTCCCCACTCATCATATTGTTTCATCCCTCTGCTTCCACCCCCCTCTACCTTGGATCCTTATACTCATTCTACAATAATGATTTTAAACAATATCTGTCTTCTTTTGATTCTTCCTGCATCATTCAGTACCCTAGCATCTTTAAGTAATGCAACTCAATGCTTGAATTTGTTCTTCAGTTCCTTCAGCTTAAGAAATGACAAGTGAGTTTTTCCATTTTTATTTTCTGACTCCAACTCTTTGCACATTTCACAATAATACTTTGTTTTGATTCCCAAGCTTCCCTTCAATATCTCTTGTTCAACTCTTTAAGTTCCTGATTTCTTTCCTGTTTTGATTTCTTGGCATTCTAGTGCAATATTCAAAGTCTCTTTTGACATCCATCTTAGTCTTTTCTTCCTCCTCTGGGATTTTAAATTTAAGTCTAATTTTTTCATGTCTAGGAGATTCAGTACACTCAGTTTTTAATGGCCTATAAAGACATCTACTAGTGTTAGATTAGAATTATTCAGTGTGATTTTATAAAGCTTACTAGAGTCTGAATAGGTCAGCATCTGTAAATTAATCATTATCTCTATCAAAAGATTGTGCAAACTACTTTGTCTCTAGGGTGGCTTCTTAACCACAGAAAGCTTACTCATTATGCCTCAATCAAGCTATCTATGAAAAAAAAAATCCTGCCAAGTTATAAAGTTCATTTTGAGTCTACTGAAGATTAATGAGCTCCACATTCCATCCCATGTACTACTCTGTGAGAAGGCTAGGCCTCTGCAGTTAAAATCAAATGGTGTGCTGTCAGGTTCTGAGTAAAAGAGATGTAAAGGGAGAGTTCACTATTATTATATAATCAGTTTTTGTTCAGCAAGCTACGTTGTAAATTTTCCATTTTTCCCCACAACCTCTTATGTGTGAAATACTTAAAAGTAAGATAATTTAAGAGAAAGCAAACCTATTTTTGTTTTCTTTCCCTTAATTAGACAAAACAACTGTAAAGTTTATACCATTACAATATAATAAATTCATATTAAAAATATTTGGTGCAAAATCTCAGTCAAATTATCTTCTACAACTATGCTAAAGAATTATGAAGATCATTATTAGGGTAATAAAACTAAGATATAACTAATTACTTACTGACTTTGAACATTTATTAAGTGTTTGGAAGCTACTACTACTTGTCTTGAAGCACTTACTGATGAAAATAAAAGACAAGAAGACTTCTATATAGTTTATGCATTAATGATGACAATAACAACAATAACAAAACTACCTCACAATTGGACCAATAAATAAAATAATAATAAGCTGAGAAAAGGCAGAAGATGCCAAGAATTTAGTTTTGCTTTGGTCAAAAATCAAAGCCTATGGAAGTAGTAGTCAAGAAATTAATATGGAAGTAGTAGTCAAGAAATTAAAATGTATATTATACTAGGTAAATTTGTTGCAATATATCTCTTTTAAAGTCTTTAAAGTCTTCTAAAACAGAGATGTCACAATGAGGTCTAAAGTAAGGATATTTTCA